AAGTGCTCACTCTACTGAGCCATCTCCCCGGCCCCAGTTAGGATAGATATACAGCTACTTTCTCTTAATTCAATGAGAAGACAAATTTCTACTAATAGCAGTTGGACAAGACATCATGTCTGCATCTTGTACCAAGAATAACTACTATGAAGACAACAGTACGTAGTGTATTAATTATTGTCACTATCCTACTAGCTTGTTTTGAAACTGTGTCATTGCTATTTGTTTCTCAATAAAATTAATAAAAATAAAAACATACCTTCGATAACAATTTGGAAATACACAGCACATCTTCATTAACTACACGGCCCTGGGTAGCGCTCCCAGAACGCGCTCCTCCTGTCCCAGTAGAACCCGAGCTCTTTGCCGAGCTTTCCACGTCCTCCCACTCCCAAGCTTCTGCCCAGCACTCGTCTCCTCTTGCTTTCATGAATTAGAACCTTTCAGATTCCACATAATATCGCTTAATGTGAACTTGCATTGCTGTAGACCGAATGTTCCTCATGGCCTTGAATTCATCCGCGCCATGGGAGAGGTCCGGGTGTCTTTCCTGTCTCAGACTGAATAACTGCATGGGTGTGCCTGCGTGTGTAAGTGGTGTGTGTGTGTGTGTGTGTGAGACAGAGAGAGAGAGAGAGAGAGAGAGAGAGAGAGAGAGAGAGAGAGAGAGAGAGAGTCTGTGCTGTGTCGCTTTTTCTAAAGCAGTCATCTGAAGGTAAGGACATTTCATTGAATCTGCATGACTGTGATATGAAGGTCCTGTCTCTCACCAATTTCTTTTTTTTGTTTGTTTGTTTGTTTGTTTTCATCATGATCAATTTTATTGCTTAGGAACTGAGCAGTCACTTCCAAAGGCCTTGGGAATGACCCACAGCTGAAGCCCACAGACAGACTCGCCGCATGGTGGCTGCAAGGTGGCATGTTGACGGGCAGCGACCGCAGCACTTAACAGAGACACCGACCAGCGTAGCGTCAAGAACACAGGTCGGCATGCAGGCACCAAGTGACTTGACAGTAGTGAGTTCTATAAAAACAAACATCGATCTCATGCCTTTGCAGTCCAGGAACTGTAGTGTTCTGAAGTAAATCAATAAAGCGCACGCTGGTGTTTCGTCAACAGGCTCTGCAGTCACCTTCCGACGCTGTGCTCAGTGCTGGGAGCAGGGTGTTGTTGGCAACAGGGCAGTGACACAGCATCAGCAGCGCAGCGCAGCGCAGCCCAGGGTTGCTTCTCTCCCACGTTGTATTTAGCGCACGTCAGAAGCGATCTCTGTGGGAAGCAGATGAGGCTACTCTAATTTTCCCACGAGATTATGGTTTTAATGTAGAATATCGGCACCATAAAACGGTAACAAAAGACAGACAAAACAGTTTACAAAATTCTTAAAAGGTGCACCCAGGCTAACTATAAACTTCACATTCAGTTCTTAAAGTTACGCAGAGAAAGGCAGAGGAGTGACAAACTGCTAGTACAGAGTGCAACAGCACTGCTAGGTCAATGCCGTCTCGGAAACGTGTGTGCTCACGTGCACATCGCTGAACTCCTAGACTGCAGCTCTACCTGCTGATATGACACTCGTGCATTCATACTGGAAAGTCTATTTAGCAGAAGTTTTGGTAAGATTTATAAATTATTTTTAAAAAGTATATATTTATATGTATTTATATATATATATATAAATGGAAAGCAGCTGCAGTGTGATTCAGACACCATGTAACATGGCAGTAGAGTCGGACCACAGAGGGGCCTTGGGGTGGACGCGGAGGCCTCACTGCCCGGGCCACCCAGGCACAACCCCTCCTGGCAGAGAGGGACGCTTGACACCTTGCGCTGACTACACTGGAGAAGCTCCTCCACAGACAATGATTAAGAATGGAAAACTGTGAAATCTAAAATACAAGAATCTCTTTGCTATCAGTGTTTTGGCAACAGGACTGTAACTTGTCTTTAAAAAACACTATGTTTCTACTTAATGTCACATGAACACACACGACAGTGAGGTATGTGAGGCTTTTCCGGAATGGTCCGGAGGCTGAAGCGAAGTGTGGGGCCGGCCATCCAGCAGGTGGTGCTTGGGCAGGTTTGTGATGCAGCTGTTAGGAGTACACGTTTCAATATGCTGCTACAGGGAGGTCTCTCGGAGGGTCCTCTCATTGCGCTGGCACCTCTTCCCACCACGTCACTGCATGACACAACACTTGTGTACATGTGCATGAGGTTTACCTGCCCCAGGCGCGATTCGGAAGGCCAGGAACACAGGCTTGTGGTCTCCCATGCACATTGGGCCCGATGTGGTCGTAGGTGACAATCTTCTCTTCACTCTCCAACCTGAGCACCAGCTCCTTGGCAGACAGAGACATGAGGATGCGGTCACACCACGCAGGGCACCGAGTGTTCCTGTACTGCTCACCTTGACGGGAGTCCTCGCTGGATGGGTAGCTGGGGGGAAATGAGATGTCCAGTTCATACAGTCTGTCTTTAAAGACAGACAACTCTTTGTCAAACTCCAAGAGCACAGTGCCATTGTTGTCCCGGAAGACTTCCTGGTTGAAGTAGTCAAAGAGCTTCTTTTCCAACTGGAGCACAACCTTACGGTCATTGTCTGACTCCCGAAATATCACTTTCACCACTTCATTGGTGTCACCAGCCGGACCGTCTGCATGGTGGCCTTTGTGCAGAGAGTCTCTACAACAGACTTGGAATCCAGGCGGAAGTTGAAATCACCAAAGACAAAGTAGGAAATGTTCTCAAATCGCTGATCGATAATTCTGTCAAGCACGTAGCCGAGAGTCTTGTGCCGGACACCCGAGCACACCGAGGGGCTTGTCTCCCAGGCCACTAAGTTGGATGCATCGTGGAAAAGATGGATGTTCACCAAGTCAAAGGCACAGTCAGCAATGCACCAGCTTGCCCGGATGAAGCCTTTTCTTCACCACTTGCACTCAGGGAAGTAGTCCTGTGGGAGCTTCTCTTTCTCTAGCATCGGTGTGCTCTCTACAGTATCCGAATAGATCTCTTTGCCAGTGACTTTTTTATACGTCTTTGCTTTAAAGTCAAACTGGTACATGTTTTTTAAGGATTCATGAAGAAAATAAAAGCTTCCTAGCGCTGTAAAATGCTCCTGTGATTTGTAGTTTTCATCCAGGTGGACTCGAGCCCTGTTGTACTCTTTCATTGCATCACTGGATAGTAGCTCCTTGACAAACTTGTCCACATTGGACATGGAGGCCTCGTAGTTCTTCCCTCCAAACTCCTGGCAGTGCACGGCCATGAGGTGTGGCTTGTGTGTGTGCACAACCTGGAAAAATTCTTGAAGCCAGTTCTTCTGCAGGTTTTTGGCTTTGACAAAGGTGACAAACACATTTCCTGAAGAAAGACAGCCTCTTCAGTAACTGGTGCTGGAAAAACTAGCTCTGCACATGCCAAGGATTAAAACTGGATCCATATCTTTCACCACGCACTAGACTAAATTTGAAATGGATCCCTGTCTTACTTACTCTTCTCTCGATGCTGGGACAAATACCTGACACTCAAATTAAAGGAAAGAAAGGTTTATTTAGCTCACAGTTACTAGAGATTTCAGTCAACATACGCATCTGGGTCCAATGCAGAGCAGCACAAAGCAGAAAGCAACCTTTCATGGTGGTGGCAAAAAGGAAGAGCCTCTCTCCTATTTCTGAAGTTAGGGTCCCAGGGCAGATCTAAGGGTCACGCGGGTGGCCTCCCCGGACTCCACGCCACCACTCATCTGTTGGAGGGTCCTGTCTCCCGTGGCTCCGAGCCCTGCCACCTCGCTCTCAGCATCCATGCGCAGGAGCCCTCACCCCGGGCAGCCTGTCTGCTGTTCCTCAGCTTCCCCAGGACACGGCCATTGTGATTGTACACAGGCACCGTCTCGACGGTCCAGGAAGGACTGTGCAGCCCGAGGAAGTGCACACAACGCCATCTGCAAAGCGCTGCTTAGCAAAATGACAGTATTGAGAAGGTTCTGCTCCAAGGCCTGGCACTGTGGGAGCCCCGCTGTGCCCTCAGAGATGCCCTGTGACCTTCTACACCCGGGGGTGCCCAGACCTGTCTCCTCTCATCATCTTTGCCCTTCCATGTCCTGGCACGTGAGTGACTTCCTGCATGACACAATCTGGGAAGAGGGGATCTGATTCACAGGGAAGGCCCAAGTAGAGAGCGAGACCTCCCTGTGAGCTGAGGCCAAGATTAACTAGCACTTCTGTACGCTGAAGACAGAGTGAAGCTCACTGCGTCCCACCGAGCACAGGTGCACAAGGACTTTCTTCTGCGTGGACACAGCTCATGTTCTCTCTGTGTGACGTGAACACGCTGCCTGCTTGTGCCTCGAGGTGTTGCTCTGCGGGCGCCTCTGTACTGCGCGTGCAGAGCAAAGTCTTCCTCCTCTCGTAAGGTGCTCTCAGCCTGCCACCCTGATCTGTGGCCTGGAAGCTCCAGCGTTGGCCAGCGCAGGCTCAGGCTCAGGGCTGCCCTGGTCCTCTCGTGTCCAGCGGCACACACGCATCAGGCTCCCTGCGTGTTGCTGAGAGAATGAACAGTGAACTTGTGCACACACTTTCCTGAGGACGCCTCCTCCTTTCTTCTGTCCCGGACACAAACAGCGTTCAGAATCCTTTCTCCTTCTTCACCATTCACACCTCGACATAGGAAAAGGTGCATCCTTGCTGGGCCAGCCAGGAGGGAGGCGGCCTGACCCTCGCTCGTGACTCTCTCTCTCAGGTATCCCCACATCCCTGGCCAGCCCAGTGTGCAAACAAGCTTCCAGGATGAGGCCAGGAGGAAGGCTCTGCGCCTGTCTTCTCTCTGGGTGATTCTCTGCCCTTCTTCCATTCTGTGAGACGGGGCTGCTTGCACAGGGCAATGGTTTGAGTTCCTCTTCCATGAACTGCCCAGCTCTTGCTCCACTCTGGCTTCTGAGGCTCACACAGCACTTCCCCTCCACACTGTGTCCTTCGGTGCGAACAGAGGAGACAGGATGGTGAGCTCTAAGATGCTGCTGCCCCTGCTGCTGCTGCTGTGGATGCAGGGAGAATGGCAGTGGGGGCTGGGAAGAACTGTGCGTCGTTTACCCTCAAGGTGCTCGCGTGAGAGTCTGAAATACAGACTAGAGGTGCCCGAGTCAGTGAGTGTCCAGGAGGGCCAGTGTGTCCTCGTGCCTTGCCAAATCCTGGACTCTCCAGTGAACTCCATGACTGTCTCTGGCTCCTGGTTTGAGGAAGGGGCCGATACAAGACATGACTCCCCTGTGGCCACAAACGACCCCCAACGCCAAGTGCAGGACAGAACCCGGGGACGATTCCGCCTCGTCCTGAAGGCACAGACCAAGAACTGCTCCCTACACATCAGAGACGCACAGAAGGGTGACAGTGGCTCATACTTCTTTCGGCTGGATGCATTAGATGTACATTGGAGTTACTGTGCAGACCTGGTCTCTGTGGAAGTGACAGGTAAGGCCTGGAACCAGGCACAGGTGGTGGAGGCCTCTGGAGGTGGCTAGCATGGACACTGTCTTTGTCACACTTTGGGTTCAAGTTTTAGGACCCTAGAAAGATCTGAGTTGGGGCCTGGGCTTCTAAATCTCACCTTTCGAATTCTGCTTTTCCCTCTGCTCCCAGCCCTGACCCACACCCCCAACATCCTCATCCCTGGGACCCTCATGCCAGGCCACCCCAGCAACCTGACCTGCTCTGTGCCCTGGGCCTGTAAGCAGGGGACACCCCCCATATTCTCCTGGTGGTCAGCTGCCCTCACCTCTCTGGGCTCCAGGACCACACACTCCTCTGTGCTCACCCTGAGCCCCCAGCCCCAAGATCACGGCACCAACCTCACCTGTCAGGTGATGTTACCTGCTGTTGGTGTGCGCGTCGAGCGGACCATGCTGTTCAATGTCAGTGGTGAGTACTCTGCCGGGTACCACAGTTGCTGGGCCTGTGAAGGCCAGGAAGACTGGGACTCAGAGCTCCTTCACTCTGTGCACGATTCCTGCCTATGCAGGGGATTTAGAAGTTCTGTCCTGTCCCTTGTCATTTGTGTGTGGTCCTGGGGGTGGGGACCTCTTGTGTCTTAGTGCTGGGAGCCTGGCTGGGCGAGCATGTGCAGGGACAACTCTGTACCTTTGTGAGATGTCCAAGAAGGGAAAACAAACCTCTTCCACTTCTAAAGGCTGCAAAAAACTTTCTGGTTTGTGTCTCCCAGCAGCTGGCCCAGGTTGAGAGAGGAGCCTTTCTGGGGCTGGGGACGGGACCTCTTCAACTGTGCTGGGACTCTCTCTGTCCTGACTCACACAGTGACAGTGCTGCCTGTGCAAACCCAAGGACTCCTCCCATGCACAGAAACCAAATCAGCAGTGAGCTTGCTGCTTGCCCCCTCATTCCCCCAGATACCATGGAGAGGAAGACCATCACTAGCACAATGAGACGGACCCTGCACTTGGGGTCCAGCACTCCACCTATAGCCTGAATCTCAGCACGGTAGAATAAAGCAGAGCCACAGACAACCAGTAACCGGTTGTAGTCTGTCCTCAGATGCTCAGTCCCTCCATAGGAAGGTCCCTGAGCACATGCTGCCCTGAGCCTCAGTCTGTCCTCCCAAGGTCAGAGAACTCAGAGTGTGTCAGGAGCACAGATGGTCCTGGTGCACCCTCACACTGGCCCCCACTGCATGAGGACACAAATATTGTCATCATCATCTACCAGTGTGTGCCAAGGAGTTGAGGTCCTAAATGCCAATTAAGCTGTGTCACGTGGTTCCTTTGCTCTGATGCACGCAACCAAGTGGTTCGCAGGAAGCGCGGGCACAGTTACACTCCAAACACTGAGAGTGCCGACAGCAAGTGGGCATCAGCCAAAGAACCGTACTGTTTGCTTTGGATGTTCATCTTGGGATCTTTGTTTAAACCTGGAGCATTCAGGAAAGGCTGCCAATGAGTTGCTGTAAACTCCATGATACAACATTGTAAAAGAGGTCAGGGAGATAGCTCAGTAGAATAAGCACTTCTCTGGCAAGCACAAGGATCTGAGCTCAATCTCCAGTTCTGCCAAAAAAAAAAAAAAAACTTTCAAAATTATTTTATCACTTTATTTATTACAAGATCTCAATACACACATCAGACTCATAGTGCACCTCCTGTCTCAGCCTCCCCAGTACTGGGATCACAGGTAGGCGCCAATACACCTGATCTCTGTGGCTGGTTCAGCATGACCATGGGTAGGAATGATGTGGTATGTTTTGCCAGGGATCAAACCCTGCTCCCTGTGCTTGCTTAAGCAGGAAGTTAGTCCACTGAGCCATCTTGCTGGCCTGTGTTAGGAGGTTTGAAGTTCTTTGTCATTCAGTGGAAGACCTGTTGGGCCAAGGGACCGTGGCCAGCTTGGCATATGCTACCAGGGACTGAAGCTAGCTTCTGAAATTGCAGGTAGGCAGTTGGAACACCAATCTGTCTCTTGAGTCCCATTGTGGAATTTTTCACCAGGGGCTGAAATTTGGTGTCTCTGTATTTTTCAAGTTTATCGCTGTATACTTTCCTGAGATAAATTACAATAATATTAAAATCAACACTTTTAATATAAAACATGCAACAACCTGAATTTAATACATAAATACTAAGGCATGACCTTCACTATTCTCTCATTCCAGAACATTCATCAGCCCAGAAAGAAACCCTGCCTCCCACACCTATGACTCTCTCTCGATGGTGCCTGGCCTTCTTGTCTCACACTTGGTGTGCTCTGCATGGAGTACAGACGGAGAGCCACACACACGGCAGCCTCTTTTGTGTGGCCGCCACACATGGCATAGGGTCCTCCAGTTTCATCAGTGCAGCCTGCATGAGTGCTTCACCTTGTTCCAAGCTTACCTACCCCAGCAGGGCCTGGACAGACCACACTGTGCTCACCTGGTTACCGTGCAGTGACCTCTAAGATTCCTTTCACTTATAACTGCTATACATTATGCTGCTAGGATTGTCCGCTTCATTGTGTGTTTTCATATTTCTCAATTCCATATATTCCATATAAAGGCACTGGGTGGGAGAGAGATGAAGAATGATGGGAGGACTCTGTCCAAGTGCAAAGGTGACAACAGTGATTGGAATATTGCTGAAGTAGGAGAATTCAGCCTCCCCACTCTTTAGCAGGGAAATCAGAGCCTATGGCAGAGGTGGTGCTGCTGACAATCACAGGGATGTCTGTCAAGATCCTGATTCTCGGGCTGTGTCTTATTTTCCTAAGGTGAGATCTGAAGGGGCTGAAGGAGGGTCAGTGTACTCGACACTGGACCAAGACTCTTAGTGCTGAAGGACACAACAATGTCTAAATGGCTGGGATGATGCAGGGGCTGAGTGGGTGGCAGGAATTGCACAAGGGACCTCTGTTATCTGTCCACAACTCTAACTCAGTGGGGGGGAGGTAGCTGCTCCGACCTGGGAGGTCTGGGAGCTTCCTCTCTCCTACTGTCACCCCGGAAGCCACTTGTCAGACATGTGTTCATTGACTTCGCCACTGCACATGCAATTTTTGTGCTACAAGATTCTTCTGTCTTTGCTTAGAATGAAGACCCAAGGCACAAGAGTGAAAAGTGCAGAAGCACACACGGACCACGTTACAGACTAGTCTCTCAGGTATGGAAGGGACATCTCAGCATAGCACCTCCCTCTCAACGTCCCCTTCAGGACATCCCAGGGTGCCTGCCTCAGGCACAGCTGAGCCATCGTCATCATCCCGAGCCCAGGTGCCCTGCCTGGATCCGCACGGTGCTCAAGCTCCTGCAGGCCCATCTTCAGCCAGGAGCAGTGTATGCTACTCCAGCAACACCTCTCTCCAGCTCTCTTGGCCCACCATCAATACCCGCTCCCTTTCCTCCCAGAACCTAAGCCCTGATCATCTTTGTTCTCTTTGCCATTCTTCATGATACTCATTACGACATTTCTTCTTTTTA